GCGCTTAACAGGAAAAAAAGTTTCTTCAATCTGAGAAAGTAATAGATACTCTTAACTCTAACACAGGAAGGTTTAGAATCATCTCAGTCTGGAGATTTAGAGCTCTCGTGGTGCCATCTAGCGGACATTCATAGAGTAAAAATTTTACTTTAAAGTACTTTTAGATTTTCTACGTTATTACAACCTGTGTTACATAGGCTTTAAGTTAATCTTAAATATAGATTTAGGGTATTAATAAATCAAACAACCACAGAAAGTTTCTGTTCAAAATGACACTACCTCCAAGATATGCAATCCACTAAATGAAAAAAAATAATAGAAAATGAATCATATATTGGTAACAGGCTTTTATCAAACTTAAATACCCATATACCTTCCTGATTAGTCCCCCAATGTTTTAAATATAATCAACACTATTCAATTCAGCAGTCTACCTACCATCTCGGTGCCTGTCTATATGTATTATTACCTTGCCATTAAATAAACATATGAATTTGGGCTGTCGTTTTAAGCAATCCCTTAAGAAAACCATCAATGCACGCTATTCTCAAATGTATACCTCATTTACCCCTAAAGTGGTAATTCAAGACAGCTTCCTGGTCTCCACAGTTATTACAGTGTGCGCTTGGGGAGCTCTTCATCTATATCCTACATGCCCACCCCCTAAAGCCAGTCGGTGTTACTAATTTAGCCAGCAGGATGAATACTCACCCTTATGAATGGCTACATATTAGAAGGTGATCTCTCTGTCTATATCTGTGGTTATGACTACCAAATTAGTTTATTTGCTGTGTGAGCCTGGAAAACATTCCTCCTGAAGCTGCAGTGGAAGTCAGCAATGTATTAGGAAGAGAAAATGACACAGGTTGCCAGATGAGATAGGCCCAACATCAAAGGCACCAACATTGGATGGCAGTAGAGCAAGGCACATCCTTCAAACGGGCCCACAGGTGAAAGAAACATGTGAGAGGCCCTGTCCCCACATGCCACTCCAGGAAGGTTCCCGCAAATGTCACCATAACTTCAGGGCTAAGTTCAAACCCAAATAAAGACTGAAACTTCATATGGAAGATATTAACAACCAATGAGAGACCTCCTTTCATCTCTAAGAAAAACATAGCTTCAGGAATTTAGCTCAGAGGCATAAGCACCTGCCTTGCAAGCAGGCGATCATGAGTTCGATCCCGATACGGATAAAAAAAAAGAGAGAGAGAAACACAGCTTCATGTTTTGGACAAAGGAGATAAAGAGTAACAAGCATTTTACTTTAAAAACATAAAACAATGGTAACCTTCTATCTAAGTACCCTGATTAAAATTTGTAATTTCCAGTTGCATACTAAAAAAAAAAAATTTAGTTCCTTAAAAATTAACCACCAAGGGGCTGGAGATTTAGCTCAGCGACATAAGCACCTGCCTTGCAAGTGTGTGGTCGTGAGTTCAATCCCTGGTGCCGATAAAAAAAGCAAAAGACAAAAAAAAAATTAACCACCAAATTACCATCTTTAAGAAATCCCAAAGGGGTTTCTCAATTCCACTAAACTATAAAGTAATTTTCATTTCAAAACAAAAATAAAAATCACAGATGTCACATTTTCATCAGAGCCTTCATTTCAATGTAAAGTAGGAAGTGCTGACTGCGTCTTTAAGGAACTAATGAAAATGACAATGGCCCAGCCTGTGCATCTGTTCTCAGAGCAGTGGCAAAGCTGCCTCCACTCCAGCCTGGAGGTGGCACTTCAGCCTGGAGGTGGCCAGGCCCCACAGAGGTGGCGGAGGCGCGGCGGTGACAAGGCTACAGGAGCAGCAAGACATGCGACCTACTGAGATAAAACTAGGTCACTGGGGACAGCACTCTTGAAAACCAATGCCATCCTCCTGTCTCACCCCGTGATCCCTTTTGCACACAGCTATTTCCCGTGCTTTCTGCTTATCTATCATGCTGTGATGTAGCCAAGAGGCCCCTCAACAGAGGCCAAAGAGATGAGCCACTCTCACAGCCTCCAAAACCATGAACTAAATACACCTCTTTCCTTTATGAAGTCCTTGGTCATGGGTATTTTGTTACAGTAACAGAAAACAGACCAATACATCATGTCATTCTAGCTGTAACTAGAAGAGAGTATGCATTAAGATTTGTCCCTCTGGCTCTTTCTACTAATTCACAAGTACGAAACATGGAATCTGCCTTCACAACATCAGTCACAATACTGCCCTCGGAGGCACCGTTACAGAATGAATTACTTCACATTTCAGCTTTAAACTCAAACCACATGCATTTATCAGCACAGTCTCTCAACAACCTCCATTTCACTGCATGCCTGTGGGGTTTGGGTCACTGCCGGTGCTCCTACCCTTCCGCTCTCTCTCCCTGGGTCACCGCTGTGGTTTCCATACCTTCTGATACTAAGTACACCTTCCGCTTTCCCACTATGCCAGACAATCTCATAATACTCAAGCTACTGTTTGTTCCTCTCAAATACCAACCAATGTGCAAGCTGTCTGACATGTTCATCTACCCATATTTGTCAGTGAGGTGTCATTCAGTAGGCTTCATTACCCAGGCATAAAGTCTGGGAGGGGCCACAGCATTAACAGCTTTTCCATTTCCATGCTGTTCACTCCTTATGGACATCCCCAGTGTGGTTAGATAGCTTCGAGCTTAAAAATTAAACTGACAGGTAAGAAGTCATCATGATGGTGCAGGTCTGTAATCCCAGCACTCCAGAGGCTGAGGCAGGAGGCTCACTTCAAGTTCAAGGCCAGCCTGGACAACAATGTGAGCTCAAAGCCAGCCTGAACTGCAAAGTGCAGCCCTGTCTCAAAAAGACAAAAAAAAAAAAAAGTAATTGTTAGTTTTAAATGTCATGAATCCTATTCTGTCTTTTTAGCAAACTGTTTGTGCTGATTTTGCTCATAAAAGAAATTTGAGAGATTAAAAAAAAAGCAACAAGCTCTACAGGGATCACTCAGCTTCCCTACATCATGCTTGTGGTTTGCAGACATTATTAACACAGCATTAATTGTGCTTTCCCAAAGTACATCAATACATGACAAACGACAGGTCTACCCTCACTGGACCTCTTTCAACACTGAAACAACCACCTGTTCCCCCTGCACAGCCTTCAGTCTTTCAGGAACCACGCTAACAAAACCATCCCTAGTGACTGTGCTCCTCCCCTTCTTTCATGAACTCCCACAGCAGACAAATGATCTGAATTCACACTGCTCCCATTGGTGATTCCTTAACTCAAAACAGGCTCCGCTCTGGATGCTCATCCGGTGAGCTCCCACCTAATGATAAAGACTCACTGCAGACCAGAACATCGCCACTCCCTCATCACGCAATCTTCACCTCTTCTATCATAAAGATCAAAAGAGAAAGAAAGCTCGTCTACATTTTGCAAAGCCCTAGCAGAGGTCTCTGAATAAAACAGATCATGGAGAATAGATGTTATCTCCCAAAAAGCATGACAGATTATAAAATTATTATCAACAATGTTTTTCTATGATCCTGCAGAATCGGGACGGAGCAAATGGTACCGGGGGCTCACAGGAGGCCCTGAGACATATGACCTCCTTACATTAAACAGAACTCTAGACTTAACCAAATGGACTTTGCTTGTCAGTCAAGGAGAGGCACAAGGGGAAAAAAGCTAAACTAACAATTCTCAATATGGCAGCACCGAAAAGAGGAGAGGAAAAGACTAAGTGTATCATCCAGCACGTAGGACTCGCTACCTTTACCAAATCCAGGTATAAATGTTCTGCAGACCTGTATCAGCGTGGCTATCACACACACACACACACACACACACACACACACACACACACACTCTCCGAGATGGCACCGCAGTGAGACCGGCGAGCTCCTCCATCAGTCATAAAGCATCGTCCTCCACCAGCAACTCTCAGTCATGAAAGAGATCAGCAAATATCACCTAGTCTGCTGTCTTACCTTTAACAGATCAAACCTAATCTTCTTTGAATAAATCTATTTTCTCTTTAAAGATCCACCCTTATCCTCCAATCTCTCTCTCTTTTAAAATTCCGTAATTTTCTCAAAAAGAAAATTAGTTACAAAACTCCAAAGGTTAAAAGGCACATATTAAAATCTTCATGTAAATTCAAGTACATGAATTCAAGGAATAAAACAATATTAAGTATTCTTGAATTAAGCTGATTAAAAGCACAAAAATTGCTTTTTAGTTATTACAAGATATATCAAAAATACTAAAACTGCCTTAGGGTTTTTTTTTGTTTTTGTTTTTGTTTTGGTCTTTCTGAGACAGGGTCTCACTATACAGTTCAGGCTGGCCTTGGGCTCACTTTGTAGCCCAGGCTGGTCTCAAACTTGCAACACTCCTCTTGCCTCAACCTTCCAAGTGCTGGGATTACAGGAATGCACCACCACACCTGGCTATTTTCTTTTTTTTTTTTTTTTTTTTTGGCACCAGGGATCAGACTCACAACCTCAGGCTTGCCAGTCAGGCCTTCATGCCACTGAGCTAAATCCCCAGCCTCAGCTTATTCTCCTTGGGTAAATGACAAAATTTTCAAAGCCAGTCTTGAAACTGAGTGTAAAAGTCAAGTTCTGCTAAACAAACTATCACGGCAGGCTTAGAGCCAAACTGTACTGCCTAGCACAAGGGAATGCTTTACTCAATTCTAATCTGCTCACTATACCATGTCACCAAATCTAAGACACCATTAACTATAGGGTAAACTGCTAATTTATACACTTCTAAGAGAGAAAAGAAGCTGACAATTACACATGAGCCCGGTATCAGTGCCCCCAAATCCATGCTGTTAAAATGGGGAGGAGAGGGCCTAAAATCAGTGAAACATCTTCAAATTCCTATAGACATGGTTCTTGTCGTTGCTGGTTTTTGGTTTTCAGTTTTTTGGGGTTTTTGGTTTTGTTTTCTTTGCAGTGCAGATATGATTGAGAGTCTTCTGCAATCAAATCTTTGAAACACAACACCGTAAGCCTCTTCTTACCTTCGGTGTTACACTCTGGAATGGAATCAGCGAGGGAGTCCGAGCAAGCTTCGGCAGGGCCAATTAATTCAGAACCATCGTTCACTATTCCACCCTACAAAAGATCAGAGCCATTGCGTTTCCTTGTCATTGGGAGCATGAAAAGAATCAAATAACTATTCGTTAACTCACATGAGTACAGTATACAGATTACAGAAACTGCTAATCTATTAAAGTACATTACAGTTGCTTTAAAAAATCTCAGCAATGGTTCAGCAATTGTAACAAATGCACCACACCACTGTGTGACATTAGTAAGAGAAAAGTAGGGTGTGAGTCGCGAGGGGGACAAGGGGAAACACTTATTTTCTGTTTTTTTTTTTTTATTAAACCTAGGCTATGCTAAAAAAGAGTCTATATTTAAAATTCAGAAAAAGTGTTATCATGTGAATGTGGCTTTTAACGAAAGTGTGTTATTTTAGGTAGAGCTTTTGTTGTTGTTGGTACCAGGGATCGAACTTGTGACCTCGTGATTGCCAGGCAGGCGCTTGTGCTGCTTTGCTATATCCCCTAAAGTGTGTTATTTTAAATCTGTCAAAAGCACTCATACAGAAGCCCCACAAGGAAAAAGCCAGCAGCTAGAGTCTTATTCAGCGTCCTCAGGGACTGGCTGTTCAGTGGTACCTGATGGAGCCCACAGGGAGTCACTGAGCTCCAACAAGTCATAAACAGCAAAATCACATAATAACAGCCCAGCGATCTGAGCAGCCACTGAAGTCAGAATCACACAGCATTGGGGAAATTAATACAATCTAAGACGTCTTCAGTAAAGAAACTTCTTTAAAGATACAAAAATAAATGTGAAACTGATGCCTCCAGGTGACCATCGCTTGAATGATACTAGGTTTGCAAGTCTGGGCCTCAATGGCATCTTCTGCTACTCTCTACCTGCAACTAGAGAACACTGTGGTCACACAAGCAGCTGGCGTCTCTGTGCCATGGCTTCCCTGACTGAATACAACAGTTAGCTCAAAGGAGCTTGCAGCCCTGGAGCAATTATCAATATTTAGAATAATAAAGCTTCCACTCTTTATTATCATTCATCCTGCCCTCTACCAACAGTTCTATGCCCTGAATACTAAGGAAATATGTCCCAACAGATTGTCAGGAGACCAACGGTTCTGTCCGACAGCTTCTATTTCTAAACTTGAGTCCAGTCCAAAATAAGGCTTTTTAAGAGTAATAAACAAATAAGATCAAATTCAAAAAAAAAAGCTAAGTGTATCATAAAGGAGTACTGTGAACAGCTTTATAACAACAAAGTACATAATTTAGGTGAAAATTCCTAAAAAGACCTAAGTTACCAAAAAGAAAGCAGAAAATTACAACAGACCTGTTACACTAAGTTGAATTAGAATTAAAAATCTTCCTATGTCAATTCTCTCAAAAGAGAAATGAAAACACATGTTCCTGTAAGAACTATCTGCCAATATTCTTAACAGCATCGTCATAACAGCCGAAGGAGAACAACCCAAATGTGTACCAACCAATAAATGGTAAAACAAACTACAGCACAGTCAAAGCCACAGAACGTATTATACAGCCATAAAAAGGATTGGAGTTCTAAAGCAGGCTACAACACGGATGAGCCTTTAACATGTCATAAATAAAAGGTCCTAATTCTGTTCACTATGAGCATCACAAGATTAAAATTTTCAACAAAAAAATTAACACAAGAAGCACAAAAATTATACCCCGAAGATTATAAAACATTACTAAGAGAAATGAAAGGATATCTAAATAAATGCAGTCATTTCGTGTTCACTGATTAGGACATAGTATTATCAAGATGTTAATTTTCAAAATGAAGTAGAATTAAAAGTTCCACGAGAAAAGCCAGGCGTGTTGTCTCACACCTGTAACCCCAGCCCAAGGGAGGCTGATGCAGGAGGGTCACTGAGAGTTCAAGGTCAGCCTGGGCTACAAAGTGAATTCAAAGTCAGTCTAAACCGCATAGTGAGACCCTACCTCAAAACACAAAAAAAGTTAGCTAACAATGTGGGGGGTTTTGGTTGTTTTTTGGTTTTGGGGGGTTTGGGACTTTTTTGTTTTATTTTGTTTTGTTTTTGTCTTTTTGAGACAAGGTGTCACTATGCAGTTCAGGGTGGCCTTGAGCTCACTTTGTAGACCAGGCTAGTCTTGAACTTGCAACAATCCTCCTGCCTCGGCCTCTGGAATACTAGGATTGCAGTCATGTGTCACCACACCCAGTTGTCTTTCATTATAAACAAACTGATAAAAAAAGTTTTTATATAAATTTAAAGGACTCAAAATTACCTTAAGAATTTTGGGAAAGTAAAAATAAACAGGACAAACTTAAACTGTCTGATTTCAAAACTAATCACACTACAGTAATCAAGACAGTATAGTACTGGTGTAAGAACAGGCACATGAATTAACAGAGAACAACAACAGGCCAAAAATAAGCCATTACATTTACAGTTAATTTACTTTCAACAAAAAAGCCAACACAATTCAGTCTTTTTGACAAATGGTGCTTATTCATGTGCCAAAAGGTGGATTTAGATCATTTCTTTTCCCACACACAAAAATTAACTGATAGTGGATCACACACCTAAATACAAACTTCTAGAAAAAAACATACAAGAAAATCGTCATGCACTGTACTACTCAAAAACTAGACATGACAACAATAACATGATCCAACAAAAGAAAAAAACTAATTTTTATATGACATCAAAACAAAAGCTTTTGTGCTTCAAATCACACCACCAGTACAACGAAGACATGCTACAGACTGGAAGAAAATATTACAAATCACATGTCTGAAAAAATACTTTTATCCATAATAGATTGAAAAGTCTTACAACTGAATAATTCAAATTAACCAATCAAAGCAGCAGGGTTTGGGGGTTGTTTTGTTGCTTGCTTGCTTTGAGGTTTTTTTTAGGGGGGTGTTTTGTTTTGTTGGTTTTTTGAAACAGGGTCTCATTATGTAGTTCAGGCTGATCCTGACCTCACTATGCAGTTCAAGCTGGCCTCCAATTCACAGCAGTCCTCCTGCCTCAGGATCCCGAGTGCTGGGATTACAGGCGTACACAACCACATCTGGCTAAAAAAATAGATTTCAAGAGGCCTTTCACCAAACAAGACACATGAATAAGTGCAGGAAAATATGTTTAGTATTTTTAGCCACTATGAAAGTGAAATCAGTAATTGTGTTCAGTGATCCAGGGCCTTCTCAGTTACACACCTGGCCCCTTTATTACTTTTGATTCTGGGACAGAGTCTCACTAAATTGCCCAGGCTGAGCTCAAACGTCTAATCCGTTTTGCCTCAGCCTCCCATAACGCTGAATTACAGGCATACACCACCATGCCCAGCTGAAATAACTTTCACCACAGTATACTGTGATCACTGCTCTATTTTCTTACTTATTGCTGCTAACCTCTTACTGCCTGAATTATAAACTGAGCTTTATTTTAACTGTGAATAGAAAAAGAACAGCATATAGAGGGTTTGGTTATTATAGATCATTTCAGATCTAGGATACCATTTTTGAAACACACCTCCCCACTAAGGGTGAGAGGCACCTGAATGCAGTGTTAATCAGGAATATGAAAGTATATGATATATGGTGTATCATATGGTATGTGATATAATATGGATGAACTCAAAAACATTACAGGAAGTTAAAGAGACAAGAACAAAAGACTGCTTACTATCTAAATCTGTGCATCTGAAATGCTGACAAAAGCCACAGACAGAAGCAGGTGCCTGCCCAGGACTGGGAATGGGGGAGGTGATCACCAGGCAGAGGGCACAGGGGGCCTGTCTGAGGTCATGGGAGTGACGTATAAATGTTCAGTGGGGATAGCTCCTTGACTCTGTCAGTGCACTGATGATCAGTGAAATCGCTCCTATGACTGCTAATTTTAAAGTGTCGATAAGGCTATCGTTAATAAATATATAACCATATATATATCTGTGATGGGAAAGTACCACATGTGACGGCAGTGCACTGCACACATGAAGGAGAAGGACTGATGACAGGAATGCTCAAGGGAAAGTCAGGCTGACCGACTGACTGTGGTATCAGCACTATGTCTGCAGGGGAAAACGACACTGCGCATACCCTATGAACTGGCTACTCAAAGTCCCACCCTCTCGTCTCTACCCACGATGAGAACTAGGAAGCTCGGAGCCCCTCGCCATGCACCCCACAGCAAGGCCCTCTGACCCCACTCTGCTGAGTCACATGTGAGGACCACCTCCCCAGGCTGCCTGGGAAGCATTTCAAAACTGGCTCACTTCTCTGACCCCTTCCTCTTATACCAGCCCCGCCATCTAGATCCTCAGTTGGCCACTAAGCTCTGCACCAGCTCCAGACAATCTCCCTTGCCTAAGCAGGGGGTGGTCAAATAAAGCCCTTTCTGACATTCAGATGGCACGTTTTGGTTTGAGGTGTTCTGTTTTGTTTTGCTTGCAGAAAAACAGCTCTCAAGACTATGTCTTTTTTCTCTATTTAAAAAGACTAAACACCACTGTTGCAATATTCCCAAATCAATATCCGGCTCCTGCTCAGCAAACTGCATGAAGCAGTGACAGGATATTTCTACAATCAGCTTCACTCCTAAACTGTCCAGTCTCGCCAGGTGTGGTGGCAAACACCAGCACTGGGAAGGCTGAAGCAGGAGGATTGCCACAAGTTTGAGGCCAGTCTGGGCTACACAGTGAGTTCAAGCCAGCCTGAAATACATAGCAAAACCTTGACTCCAAAAAAAAAAAAAAAGCTACCCAATCTTTCACAAGTTCTACAAGCAAGTGTCTCATTCTCCTTTGAAAGTCTAAAAGTGGATGTCTTCTAATAGCAATTCCAATGAGGAACTCAGGCATCTAAAACAAATACTATAGCGAACATGTAACTCTCATTTCCATTATTTGAAGTCTATGATCTACCTTAATCCTCAGATTGGTTTCCTTAGCCCTAAAATGTGAGTTAATTTGCCTTTTACAATTTCTACAAAGCAAAATTTCTCTTGCTGAATAATAATGCCTTCCCCCTGCAAGCCTAGACCTCCTGTCAGACAGAAACACTGTGACCAAGAACAAGACAAGCTGGACACCGTGTCACCTCAGCCTTGATGCAGAAGATCCCCTCTGGGCCGTAAGCAGCAGCCACATTTATGTCAGCCTAGCTTATAAAGTAATGAAAAGTAAGCAATAAGGTCAATGATAATTGTTACTGCTTGTGTCTGGGTGTCGCCCCAGGACCTCATGTAGTCATAGCTGGGGCTTTTCCAGAGTGGCTGGATGTAGGGTTTGTGCTTCTGGAATCAAATACGTGCTGCTGGGTGGGGCAAAGTTAAGAGCAGGGGTGTGAATGCTACCTGCCCTGAGGGTGGGTGGCCTGGGTAGGATACAAGGGATGGCAGAGCTGTAGTCACAGCTCACTGCTTGTGACTTGTTGCATGCTTTGCTACCTTCTGCTGCTACGAGTGTTTCTCCTGTGATGTCACCCTGCCTTGCAGCCAGCCAATTATGGAGTGAAGCCTCTACAAACTATCAACTAAATAAACCTTACCTCTTTTAACTCTGAGTGTTACATATTTTGTCTCAGTGGTGGGAAAAGTAACTAAGGCAATAATGGATAACACTGTCACTACAAACTTTATTTTCACAACTTCTATTTCCATTACTCTAAGTCACAATGTCTTTCCAAAGATCAGCTTTCTCTAGTAAACTAAATGAGGTCATAGAAAATGAATTTTCTGTGTAAATCCACTAACATCAGGAAAATTAAATTTCTTGCTACTCATATATCTTGCTGCTTAAAAAGTCTAAGAAACTAAATTTATATAAATGGGCATATTTTCAAGTAAAGAAGAAAAGAGACAACTATGACACAATCACCCTCCCTTTTCCTAGAAGGCTAACTGTATGTAACTGGGAAAATGTGATGATTTAAAATTGAAGGCTACTAACAGTTTGTACAGGCTCCAATTTAAAGTAAATTAAGAGCTGGGGATACAGATCAGTGGCACAAGTACCTGCCTGACAAGCACAAGGTCCTGAGTTCAATTTCTGATACCAAATAAATAAATAAAATGATAAAGAACTTAGAATTAAAGCACTATATGCCAAGAATTTTAAAACACTAATAGGCAATGATGGCAGATAGTATAATTTGCATTGACTTACTGCTGTAAAACTGTTCAGTGACCATTTTTGTTATATCTTTACACAAATCAACATAATTACAACAAATGTAATATGTATGGACTTGTAGTGCTTTAAATTCCAAAGTCTTCCACTGAAAGAAAACTCAAAAGTGAAAATAACTAGAGAAGGTTCATAATGCCTAATATTTCTATTATGAGGGGAGAATTAGATAATCCCTACAGCCTCTGCCCTTTTCGGGGAGGGGAGTAGTAGTGGGAATTGAACTCAGGGCCTCTGCACTGAGCTATGATAATCCCAAGCCCTTCTTTCTTTTTGAGACAGAGTCTCACTAACTCTCTAAGTTGTGCAGGGCGGGCTCAACCTTGCCATCCCCTCTCTTGGCCTTCCAGGCTGTTGCAATCATCAATTTTTTAAAGCCTAAGCATCAAAAATCATACGTATTTCTACCCCAACATATATAGCATATACCACTTATGCTTATCAGCTACGACCTTGCTCAGTTAGCTACTAACTCCTATTTTCTTAGTGGATAACGGGGAGGGTTTTTGCTTGTATTTACTAAAAATTAGAAAACAAAAGTATTTAATAAGATACAAAACATTCCAGTAAGAGAAACAAACCTTGAAGAAATCTTCGAGCTGTTTGCTGTTGTAAAGGGCAGGAATGTTGGCAGAGAACTGCAGCAGGTCCTCAGCACACTGTCTTCTCTCCTCTATGACGCTGTCATCGAATCGTCCTGGAATTTAATCGAATCAACACTTAGGCAGAGAAGAATCAAATGCCACTTCGCGACATCTACACTCAGAGACATAAAGCACAGCCGACCACCGGGTATGCGCTGTGCTTGTGCAAACTTCTGAAGTTTGCTCTATCACAATTAGAAGCAGCAAGAAAGAAAAATAATGTTTCTGAGAAACAAGAGGCAGAAGTTACCACTGATGAAAGAACAGTGCATTCAGTCAGTGTAAGATACTGACTGTCGGAGGCTCTGGTGATTCAAAACTAAGCTGGAAAGATAATTTTAAAGAATTCAAATGATTTGCTCTAGTAATTTAATGTTGCAATTACGCATATTTTTTCTTTCTCTTCTTTATGATGTATAAAGTGACTGAAGAGAGGAAATTATGAGAATATCTATATTTCAGATCAGCAAAGACCTCAGCTCCAAACAGCTTTTCTGCCAACTTCTGAGGGTGACAGCTGCTTGTGAGAAGAGAGGGGACACTGAGCCCACAAGTTCCACGCTGTGAGGTGACAGGAAGGCAGAGAGTCTGAGTGCTGGTAAGATTCTGTCAAACATGAACATCCTGTGCAACTCAGGTGAGATCACTGGTCTGCGTCTGTCACACGCTGGCTGCAGTGTAAATTTTAAAAGTACAGAAGCAAAGGGCGGCATCATCACATCCTCAAATATTTTAATTGGCCTTGCAAAGAATTAAAAAAAACTAAGGCACAGACAGCTTCCTGTTACATAAACCAAGGCAATGAAACTGAACAGCTAAACCCCTCTGTTGCAGGTGCCCATGGGCTACAGAACGCTTATTTCCTCAGATGTTAAAAAGGCCCTGGGCTTGGACCCAGGTTCAAACAGGAGCTCCACTGTGCACTGGCTACGAAACCTCAGGCAGACGACTTCCTCACTGCACAACAGAGAAAATGAACAACTTAACAATCCCTAGTCCGCGTCAGCCCCAGGGCCAGTGCTTAACTGATGATTCTGGGGACCCTGAATCTCCAAGAGCTGACATAGCAACTAACAGACAGAGCTTGCTAGAAGACATTTGCTGACTGTGAGAATAAATAACGAAAACTTCCAAAAATCTGTATCACGGTGAAGCTTTCTAAAGGGAAATCTTAAAAGTGGGTCCACAAAAACATTCCCAAGGCTTGGCATGAAAGTAAAAAGGCGGCTATTGCTAGGAAAGAGGAAGGGTTAAGTCTGGGAGGAAGAAGAGACAAATGGACCTGATCAAAATATGTCCCATGCATGTATGAAAATACCACACTGGAACCCAACATTGTAAAAAATTAACAGGAACTAATACATTTTTAAAAATAAAGTGTGAAAAAAAGAAACAAAGTGGGGTGCAGAATGATATATACATGTTTGGTGAAATCACAGTGAAACCCATTAATTTGTAAAATTATTATCAACTTATTCTTATAATAAAAAGCTTTAAGAACCCCCCCCCCCCAAAACACACACACACACAAATGCAAACCCTAGGCAAGGACACTCAGCCAGACTTCAGAGACAGAATCCTACTGCAGAATCCTACATGGGCAAGCGCAGGGTCACCTGTCTAGAGAGGCACCATGGCTTTTCTCAACATCTGCGAGGAGCCCAGGGCCCCTAGGGGCATCAGCAAAGTGGCAGCCAGTTCCAGAGTGGACCCCGAACACGCAGGGCTCTGCTTCAACTATGGAACAGGCTGCCAGCTGCTATTCAAATTCCTGTTCTTGCTTTGACCCTGAGCAAGATTTGCCTCAATTTTAACCGGATACACTGTACTCCATTAAAAAAAAAAAAAAGAGTGGTCAGACTGCCTTGGAGTTTCATGCAGATCTGGGCCAAGTTCATGTCAACAGCATACAAACAAAGATTCAAGGACAGCTTCCCAGAAATCTGCTTAAAGACAATTGATACAGACCCTCCACCCCACCCCTGCCACTGTCCCCTCCTCTTTCCAGGAAGGACCGGAACTAGATGGCTGAGAAGGGCACAGCCACACAGCAGGAGCAGGGATTCCTGATCACCACCCAGACCTTTGAAACCAAAACATCTTGTGGTGAGATCTGCCCAAGAAACCGAGCCTAGCATAATCCATTCTGCTAACTCAGCTTTCCTATTAGTTCTCCATTCATATGCACCAACTAAACTCCACTCTCCCAATATCAAATTTAAATTGACACTCGTAGCTTCCTAATGTTACCTACCTAATATTATCTGGAAACAAACTTCCAAAGAATTCCAGGAACTGGAGCGAATTCTCTGGCCTGAAAACAATCTAAATTATTCACTCTTGGGAAAAATCTGCCAGTCAAAGAGGTGAAGTGCTCACTACTCCTCCTGTTGTCTAAAGAAAGAGGGATCCGTGTTTATGATTACAGTCCAGTGTAATTAGACTTGTACAAAACAGTCAATTCCAGTGCCGGTGGATTACTATCAGTAATTCTGTAAACATCTATAATCTTGGAACAGAAACCCAGAAAAATGCAAACTTTTTTTACACTTCAACCCACGAGACTATCCCATATTATCTTTAAACACATTAACTACTTGCTGAGACATTTTAATGGAACACTTCTTCATAATCAATGATGGCTAAAAAGATTTTATTTCTGTTTGAAACAAATAGATAAAAAAATTTGAGGCTTTAATCCCAGTATGATTCATCTCACCTCTTCATTCACCTAGACTAAATGCTTAAGCAATGGAATATATAAGTCAAAAGCTCGTCTTTGTTATAATTCTATTGATCTATGCACTTCTATTTCAGTAAATTTGGACAAGCAGAGATGAATTAGAATTTTTTTCAAAGTGGAATACAACCAAAAATAGCAGCTTACGCATAAAATGCTTCAATTATATCAAATCCTATCATCAGAACAACAGATAAAAGAACATGTGTTCTTTTTTGTCCTGTACCTTATTAAAGATTTCAGAATAACAGAAGAAAAGTAGTATCATAAACAAAGGGATACAGATGATTTTAATGTAATAACTACTGGCCTGTATGTACACATAGAATGATACCGCTTAGTCTTTTAATTGTCGTGAAAAGGAAGCAATAGCCCCTGTCATCCTAATCGCAGACAATACACCTGTAGCCAGTTTCAAAATCTCTCCTGAAAGGCAGCAACAGCATGAGAAATCAGGCAGGTGTTTTTCTCACTGATACTTTCTATTTCCACTAATAGTGCCAGTGCTTATTTTCCTGTGACCTGAGTAAAAAATTACAGGCAGAGCCAGGTAACACAAAACAAATTCTTCCTGTGCAAGATGATATATATCCTGTATCCTAAGGTCCACATAATAAATGGAAGTCATTTCTTTCTTCACTACAAATCACCCCACAATGATTTGTTTATTAAAACCTGTGAAAGAAAAATTAAATTCAAATATCCTAACTAAACTGGTTAATCACTGGAAATAAAGCCTCCGCATCTGATCGATCAGTTGCCTTTGCTATTTTCTTTGAGTTTTATTTTTAACTATTTAGAACAACTCCTATATAGCAGAGTTTACAACTTCTTAAATATTCAAATGTCAATGATTAAAAAACCTCTCAGTTACATGGAACCACTCAGCCTTGACCAACACGAAGCCACCCCAGACAGCGGACGCTGATGATTGACTACGTCAAAAATTCATTCACTGGGGGAACAGAAAACAAGGGGCCAAGGTGCTCAGCGTGCATTCTCTCCAGCCCAGAATACCAAGGGCACTGCTGTGGTTAAGGAGGTGGACCCACTTCCCACTGCAGCAGAGGAAATGCTCACTCTGCGGAGCGGGAAGCGCTGCACCAGGAAGGCCCCGGAAAGGCCTTACAGGACTGGGGTTTACATCAGGTGTTCTGACGACAACTTCAAGGCTTCAAGGGAACGAAGTTTTACCCCAGCCGGATGCTGTTTAGGAAGTGAAGGGAAATCTAGGAATCTTCGAAATCTATGTAATTCTGTGAGTCTTGACTCAAGAAGAATAAACCGAGGCGAAGACTGTCATTTATAAAGAAGCAGAAGGTCCTCAAGGTAGGCAGGACCTGCGTAGGTTTGATGATTTGGGAGACTTTAACTATTCATGTTTTCCTCATTCAGGTATGGCTGCAGGGTGGTCTTGCTTTTTCTTGATCCAAGCGCCTGGAGTGATTTTACCACATTCTGGGAAGCAGTCTATGCTCCATAGGAGAGTACATCACAGCGCAGGTGTGCAGGGCGGGCCAGCTCTAAGAAACACCAAGGCCGCACTGGCGTCCAAGTCCTCACTGAGCTGTCAGGAGCTACTGGTCTCTTTCTCACATGAAATTACCATCTGGTAACCGAGAAAACAATCAGATGGCTTCATCGTGGAACGTTTTACAGAACAACTGCTCTGTACTCCTTAATGTCAGTACGTTGGGAGGTTGAAGCAGGAGGATCACTATGAGTTTGAGGCCAGCCTGGACTACAAAGTGAGTTCAAGGCCAGCCTGAACTGCCTAGGGAAATCCTGTCTCAAAGGAAAAAAAAAGTCATTGTCTAAAGGACTTGGGGCCTAGCTAGTATAAAAACACTTGCCTAGCTTGCATAAAGTCTGACTTTAATTGCCAGAACACAGAAAGAAAGAAAGAAAAGAAGAGAATAGAACAGAAAAGAAAAGAAGAGAAACTGTCAAACAACATAAACTCAACACTCAGGAAGTCAAGACAGAGGAGCACAAGTTTAAGGCCAGCCTGTGATAAAAGTAAGTCTCAAGGAAACAGAACAAAAAGATTTGCAGGCAAGCGGGAACACATGAATGTGAACTGCCTATTTGATAATATTATCGCATCGATGTTAAATCTCATGGGTGTGACACGATATTGTAGTCATACAGGAAACAACGGAGAGGGGAAATGTCACGGTCCCTTTTTATTCTTAAGTAATTCAGAAGAAAAACTTAGGAAAATACACAGAAAAAGACAAAAGGTGGCAAATGTCTACAGTGAACTTGGAGAAAAGGTTATGAAGGTGTTCACTACAATATCATTTTAGGTTC